CAAAGCCACAGTAATCAAGATAATTTGGTACAGGCACAAGAATAGCCACAGACCAGTGGAACAGAATAGAGAGTCCAGGTATTAACCCAAACATATGGTCAATTAATATACAATAAAGGAGCCAAGGACATACACTGGGGAAATGACAGCCTCTTCAACAGCTGGTGTTGGCAAAACTGGACAGCTACATGTAAGACGATGAGACTGGATCATTGTCTAACCCCTTACACAAAAGTAAATTCAAAATGGATCAAATACCTAAATGTAAGCCATTGAATCATAAAACTCAGAAAAAATATATAGGCAAAAATCTCTTGGACATACACATGAGCAACTTCTTCATGAACATATCTCCCAGGCAAGGGAAACAAAAGCAAAAATGAACAAGTGGGACTATATCAAGCTGAAAAGCTTCTGTACAGCAAAGGACACCATCAATAGAACAAAAAGGCATCCCACAGTGTGGGAGAATATATTCATAAATGACAGATCCGATAATGGGTTGACATCCAAAATATATAAAGAGCTCACACACCTCAACAAACAAAAAGCAAATAATCCAATTAAAAAATGGGCAGAGGATCTGAATAGACACTTTTCAAAAGAAGAAACTCAGATGGCCAACAGACACATGAAAAGATGCTCCACATCGCTAATCATCAGAGAAATGCAAATTAAAACCACAATGTGATATCACCTCACACCAGTAAGGATGGCCAGCATCGAAAAGACTAAGAACAACAAATGCTGGAGATGATGCGGAGAAAGGGGAACCCTCCTACACTGCTGGTGGGAATGTAAGCTAGTTCAACCATTGTGCAAAGCAGTATGGAAGTTCCTCAAAATGCTTAAAATAGAAATACCATTTGACCCAGGAATTCCACTTCTAGGAATTTACCCTAAGAATGCAGCAGCCCAGTTTGAAAAAGACATATGCACACCGATGTTTATCACAGCACTATTTACAATAGCCAAGAAACGGAAGCAACCTAAATGTCCATCAGTAGATGAATGGATAAAGAAGATGTGGTACATATACACAATGGAATATTATTCAGCCATAAGAAGAAAACAAATCCTTCCGCTTGCGACAACATGGATGGAGCTAGAGGGTATTATGCTCAGTGAAATAAGCCAGGTGGAGAAAGACAAGTATCAAATGATTTCACTCGTATGTGGAGTATAAGAGCAAAGAAAAACCAAAGGAACAAAACAGCAGCAGAATCACAGAACCCACGAATGGACTAACAGTTACCAAAGGGAAAGGGAATGGGGAGGATGGGTGGGAAGGGAGGGATAAGGGTGAGAAAAAGAAAGGGGGCATTACAATTAGCATGTATATTGTGGAGGGGTTGGGCTCAAATACAAGGAGTGATTCTACAGCATCTTACTATGCAGATGGACAGTGACTGTGAAGGGGTATGAGGGGGGAACTTGGTGAAGGGGGCGGCCTAGTAAACATAATGTTCTTCATGTAATTGTAGATAAATGATGCCAAAATTAAAAAAATAAGAAATATAAAAAAATAAAAAATAAAGCAGACTAACAAGGAGAACTGACTGGTATGTTTGCCACTGTGTATTATGCCTACTTTCACCCTTTCTCAGCTGAAGTTGCTCAGCAACAATGAGATGGCAAAAAGGTAGCTCAGAAGAGAGGAAAAGAAGTCTAAGAAGCCAAAACTCTGGATAATCTGCACTAAATAAACCCTTCCTTCTAGCCTTCCATTTATTCATTATTCAGTAATTATTTATTGAGTTCTGTCTAAATGTATCAGAAGTTTGGGGGGATATAAAGAAAAAAGGGGTTCTTTTGTGGCTTAGGATTTTTGAAACCCTTGGATCATTTTCACCACCTGCCCGTTTATTATAGAGCATACAGTCCTACCCAGAAACATCTGATAAAGTCCAGGCAACTGAACCGAAGCCACAGGAATCTGAGTGTCCACATACTGGAATCTATCAAGTCAGTAAGCTAGCGTGACTCAAGTAGCAGTCTCAAGAAGCTAGATTTGGCCTAACTTTACCCTTACAACTTGCCTGACTAAACAGCTTGCTTTTATTTACTTCAAAAGTAAGGAGTATCCAATCACAGCCCCAAAAAAAGGTGATGTGGAGTTAGCTATACTGTTAGTTTATCATTTTTCAAGATATGTCATCACCTCTCTTTGATACTAATCAACTGCAGAATCTTATGTATAAATTACGAATTTTAGGAATCTTGTCAAGTTTTTAAGTAGCTTCCTTCTACTCTAGACAGATCTTAATTCTAAATATAACATGCCTGAAAAAAACACTACTGAAAGGCTCCTTCTCTTCAGCACAGTGTGTAATATAAACATCAAGCCGTCACTGTTTCCAGTGCAGTTAGGCTCAAACGCTGCCCTCCATTCTGTGAGTGTTGTAAAGACTGAAAGCTTTGACTGTAGCTCTTTATTAATAATGATTGCTTAGCCATTGCACAAAAACCTGGAACAGCTGTTCCCTGAAAGAATAATTCAAAGCAAAGTAGGCTGGATAAAAAAACACTTCCAACCACATTTCAAAAAGCTCCTTTGTGTCAACTAGATGCATGTCTGCACAGGGAGTTTTGTGAGTACAGGTGGATAGCATGGGGCCTTTACTATAATTACATAATTACCTGGTACTACCTTTATGGCAAAACAGCTCTGATGCACTGAGTTCTATGTAAGTGGTATAGTCTTGTAGCTCAATGATGGAACTGTGTGAATGGGGGCTTTCATTAACCCAAAGATAATTGCTTTAAGAAATGGTTTTGAAGCACATCTGTGGTACTTATGATCCTATGGGTACATTTCTTTTTTTTGAGGTATCACTTTACAGTTAAGTTTTTCTTGGTATTTTTCAGAGACTTCTCTTCTGAGGCTAAATTAGGAATTTCTGTTCCTTATTTGAGTTCCAAGAATTGAGCCTTTCCTGCCCTCCGCCCAAACTAGAAGATATAAACCGTGGGAAAAAGTATCTTTACAAACTGTATTAAGTTATCTAACTTGGTTTATTTAGCATACTCATGAAGTCTTTTACATCCACGGAATCCTCTATTAAGTCTCTCCAAGCTACGATAGGTTTTTTTTCTTAGTTTCTGAGTCCTGCCTGCAAAGGCAGGGGTGAGAAGCAGGCACAAAGGCTGATAGCTAGAAAGCTGACATGGAATGCCTCAGTTTCTCCCTGTTCAGATCAGGTTCTTTCTTTTCAATATTTCCTCCTCCTCAACAGCAAAAGAGAAAGTGGGAAACAGAAAAATGAGGCATATAAATAGCTTTGTGTGATTTACTTAATGGAGGTCCTAAAGATTCCAAAGCATACATCCTAGTGCAGTTCTTCTGTTCTGGGCACTGTAAGAGTTGACCAGAAAGAAACAGAGCCTCTACCCTTGTAACCTTCATCCATCTCAGTTATGCCTGGGAAGAATGTGGGCGCTAATTTTAGACAGAGACTAAGATGCACAAAGGACAAGTATCAAAGCATTTTCGGAGCCAGAAACAGATTTAAGTTCCTTGACTCATTGCTGTTCTTACTGCAGACCACAGCTGTACCCAAGTGAGCTGCTGCTAGAACTAGTGGCTTCAGAGGAGCCAACTGCTCTAATTGGTGGCTCTAAGCCACTTCACTGAGAAAGCACGTGGTCTTAGATGCCTTAAGAAGTGACTGACAGCCTGAGGCCTGAGTGACTCAGGCTTTTCTGAGTCATGGAGCTTTTAGGTTGGTCTTTTAGCCTGACACTCTTCCATCTTCCTTTTTTCCTCTCCCAGGGAAGACAAGCGCCTGAAGACACAGATCTTTCTCAAGCAGGTATCAAAGAGTAGAGGACTTTCCCTCAGAGCCTTTTGGACCGCTAGCTCCAAATGTGGCAGACCATTTGGGTTACTTGGGGAAAGTTTTGAAAATGGAATTAAAGTAGTATATATGAAAAATGGAAACAATACTAAGTAAAATTAGATGTCCACCCACTCTTATTATTCTTCCAGACTTTTATCCTATACATGTAGACATTTTGTCTTGTTTTAATGAATTAAGAGTCGTACTATGCATATTGCCTTTTCTCAGCTTGTTTTTAATTAACAGACTATAAGATGGACTTCCTTACAAATCTATTCCATTCTTTTAACACAAGGGACACAAATCAAAGGTCTACAGGGGTTAGGTAACATTAGTGAGTTAAATGGACCTGGGAGGAACTGCAGAAAACAGAGTTTTCCATTTAATGGAGTCAGAAGTTACCCAACTACAGTCAACTGCTACCATTTGGGAATGTGGGCCCAGAATTGCCAAATCTTGTTTTTAGGATAAGAAAGAAATATGAATTTAATGTAAAATCTCTGGATTTTTAAATATTAGTAATTAAATACTTGAACCAGTGAAAATGTGTTCAATCCAGACACCGCCCTCAAGTCACCTTTTTGAAACTTTCTATGGCAGTGTATACATTATTGTTTTAGTATGTCATACTTGTACTTAAAAACCTTTCTTGTTTTTAATTAATGGAATGCAAAATGCCATTGCTATACACTTTCATTGTGATAGTATGGCTACTACAGTAGATATTCTTGTTATATCTTTGTGTGCTTGTACAAATAATCTTAGAAGTGCAGGTTCAACACTGCCCTAGAAAAGGTTGTACCAATATACAATCCTTTGCACAGGACATGAGAGGGTCCTTTACTGGGGAACTTTAAACAGATTCCCAGGTGCCATTCGAGAGATCAGATGTAGTAGGCTTCTGATAGAGCACAAGATTGTGTATTTTTTAAGCTCCCAGATGATTCTGATGATCAAAGGTTTTGGAATCACTGTCTTAGATTATTAACAAATTGTTTGGGGCCATCTCCAGTGAATTATAAAGGAAACTAAATACTTTGATTTGCATTTGTTTTAGACTGTGTTACTTCTAATTACAGCCTCTGTGAAAACACAAAGGGCTCTTCTGCAGCTGCTGCATGAAGTTCAATCAGAGCAGAACAATAAATAAACCAACTCAGGGACCTTCAAACATCTTTTATTGGCACAGCCTAGGAAAAGGTGCGGTAGCCATTTCTGGGCAAAACCTGTATCCCAGCAAGGTAGTTAGAGTATTATCTAGCACACCACTGAACCACTGAACCACAAAGCTTAAGTTCCTGAAACAGACGCCCAGGTCACTAAGAGGCTCCAAAATCAATCGGTCAAGCCCTGCTGCTCTGTTAAGACTCTGTAACGCAAGAAACAGTCCTGGATGTACATCCTTGTTATGGGATGACTAAAAAAGGCAGGGACCAAACAGCATCAAGCTTTTTTTTACCAGTTCATTCCCGCATTACAAGGAAGGTGTGTTTCAGCAGTAGTACTGAGGTCTCCTCCCCATTCTGCCTTTGCCTAAGCAGCTTCTGCTTAGAAGGGGTGGTCATAGGACATGATCCTCAGGATGGTAGAGTTCACTCATCAGGCGGTAGATGTAGGAAGGTGCATTCCCACCAATGTTGGAGATAAAGAGGGTAATGAGCTCTGGGGGCACGTAGTCAAACACAGGACAATGAATGCTGACCTTCTCCAGAATGTCGCCTGAAAGGTAATCACAAATGCTAAAGATAAAACTAAAGATTCTGCTCTAGTAATTAGAAGAGAGTCTAGGCTCAAAAACAAAGACATACTTGCTACCCCAAGGAAGGGAAGCTGCAGCAAAGTGAAACCAGAAGAGATGACTTCAGACCTTGATACTCTCTGCTTACAACTATCCAGCACCCTTAGAATAAAATTCAAACTCGGGATTGCAACCTCTGAAATCTGGCCCCTTCTCACAGCACTATACTAATGATATACACTAATTATAATCTGTTTCTAACTGGCTAAGCATGTACCTAAGTCAAGCCCTTTGCACTAATGCCTGGAAAATTCTTCCCTTGATCTTCAAAGGGCAGGCTACATTCAGGACTCAGCTGCAATGTCATCTCATTAAGACCCTTCCCCAAACTAAAGCAGTCTCTTCAGCACTTTCCATGACATCATCCTTCTTGGTTTTCTTCCTGAAACATCTCATGACCTGACATTTTCTTGTCTGTCTTTTGCAACACGGTATATGCTCTGTGTCTATCTGGCTTGTTCACTGTTACAACCCTAGTGCCTAGAATGGTGCTGACACATAGTGAGTACTCAACAGACATGTTTCTTTAAAGAATGCATGTTTGAATAAACGGATAAAGTTGTGCAACTTCCAAGAAGAATCAGCACACCAAGAGCCATGCTTTGCTCCCACATTAACTCTTGTGAGGCAGCAGGCTCACTGAGCAAAGCTGCTTCCTTCAGAAGTCAGAGAAGAGGACCTAACCCACACAGGCATCCAGGGCACAGGCAAGTTTTATAAGTAGGAACAGTTACAGCCTGCTTCCTCTGGCAGCCACATCATCAGAAAGACTCCTAGAGCAACTGAAACCAAGTACATTTTCCTACCAGGTTGCTGCCTGTGTCTCAAACAAAGTGCAAAGCTAATCCCGGTCATCTGACCCACAATGGCCCCAATAACTCAAATATATTAGTCTCAGAGCAAAATGAACATGGATTAGCACTCCAACTGCTAAAGAGAACAGTCCCCACAAGCAGTATCATAAAAAGGACAACCTGGCGGCACCCAGGCCCACTGACCCCCAAAACAAAAACAAAACGACCAAAACACGCACATGCACATACAAAACTTCTGTACCTTCTGTGAAAGGCAGAACTTCTTCAGGAGCCACAAACTTGTGAAACGAATCTTCTTCATTGGGGAACTGGAAAAGGAAAAAAAAAAGTAACAGGGACCCAGCAATTCCACTCCCAGGTATATTCCCAAGGTAAATAAAGAACGTATGTTCACACAGCAACTTGTACACAAATGCCAACAGAAGCATTACTCACAAAGCCAAAAGGTAGAACAACTCAAATGTCCATCAACAAATGAATGGATAAAGTGCATACACCCATACAATAGGGTATTATTCATAAAAAGAAAAAGAAACAAAGTACTGCGCTACAGCTCGGATGAACCTCGAAAGCATGATGCTAAGTGAAAGAAGTCAGATACAAAAGGGCACGTTGTATGATTCCATTTTTAAGAGATATTCAGTAAAGGCAAACCCAGAGACAAAAAGCCAGTTAGCGATTACTAGGAGACGGGGAGAGGGCGGAACTGGGAGTGATTACTTCACAAGCATGGAGTGTTTTCACAGGATGATGACAAAGTTTTTAAACTAGAGAAGTGGTAGTTGTGCAATGCTGTGAATGTAGTAAGCGCCACTGAACTGTATATTTTTAAATGGTTAATGGTATATTATGTGAATTTCAGCTCAACTGAAAAAAAATTGAGACCTTTAAATAGGCTATTTTCAAAGCAGATAGCTTCTATCACTAATGAAATGGCTTTTCACCTACTAACTGCTTGTAGTCAGGCTACAGAGGACAGTCCCTGGAACTATGACAAATCAACCAATTCTACATTCTTCATTTCTACTTGGCTTGGCATTTTCAGAAATGGTCAGGGTAACGGGGAGTAAATGAAGGTCCTTGCCCAACACTGTACTGTCCTGACCTTAAATGAAGGTCCTTGCCCAACACTGTACTGTCCTGACCTTACAATTTCATCTTTTTAAAGCTGAACAGGTTATCACTATCAATTGTTTCTGGTTCAAGACTTTGTGTCCTTTTCCAGTCTCCACTGGGTCTGATCTATAGCATAAACATAGATAAAAAGAAGCCCCATTGTGAGTAGGTTTAAGGCCCAGAGTTCAAGCCTGTACTTTGGCTTCCTTCTCTCTGTTGACTACAAACAGACCAACATACCTGTGGGGACAGCTTGAACATAGAAGCACAGACGATGAGCGGGGTGGAATGGTGTTTCGCTGCCAGTGCCAGAGTGTGAGTTCCTGTCACAGCTCTCAGGGCACCATTGGCCAGGATGGTCTTTGTGCCAATGATCACCTTGGGACAGGAAGAAAACCATGAGCCTTCTTGGAACAGAATGTTAAATGGGCCACTGGGCACAACAGGCTGCATGCTTAGTCCTCAGATTTGGCATCCTGAGGGGTCACACACCAGTAAAGGGTAAGGGATTCCAGACTCAGGACAAGTTCCAGCATAAGAGTGGGTTCCCAACGAAAGAATGAACATAGTACATGACAGGAAACGGCAGTATCTACTGCTCTTAGCCCTTTATTTTCTGAAAGTCTATATGCCATACCTCCTGAGAAGCTGGAAACCTTTCTATTTACCATTCACTACAGCCAAGCTCTGAGCAAAAGGTGGGGAGCACTCTACCAAATCCCTGGCAGCTGACATAGTCAGCTTAGCCCTACTTCATTCCTTTCAATGCTTGCACCAAAAAGAGGCAACTCCAAGTGAGGAATGATGATACGGATAAAGGGAGAAGAAATTTAGTTAATGGATTTAAAAAAGGCCAAAGGATGTATTTTCAAAATTTGCTAGAAGCTTTCTTCTTTGCTCATGGATACTAAAGGCAGGGATTGGGGGAGTGGGAATCAATGTAAGTATAATCTTCATGAATTCAACATAACTCCAAATATACACACCTTGTTGACTCTTGACATAACAGCAAAAATGGCAGCATCAGTCATGACAGTTGTCTCAATACCTACTTTGGCCAAATTGATTGCCATTTCATGACCCTGCAAGAGGAGAGAAAGGCTGATAGATGGGACAAAGAGTGACAGCATGAAAGACCTCTCAAACATAACTGAACTGGGGGATTCTGTGACACTGGGCATACCCAACACATAATTTCCTACAAGTAACTCATTTTTCTGCCTATGTATTCTGTGGTACACTGCAGGGAAGCCCAGGGGAAGCTAATAAATGTTTAATTCCTCACAGCATCACTAGAGCAGCCACAAAACTGGAAATATTACGTGCTTGCATAATCAGGTATATCTGACAAGACAGCTCCTGGCTCATTATTTTACAACATCCCACATCCTTACATATTTCCCTTTTTGGGACCTACTGTTTACCTAGGGAATGAATGAGGTCAGACCAAGCACCGGTCATCCCCAAAGTAATTTACCCTATTTTGATTCCTAAAAGTACCAATATTTATCTTTGCTTGGACCCAGCAGTTCACCCAACCTTCTTACACCCAAGTTTGAGGATTTTCACAGGATGAACAACTTGAAAATTCCCTTAATGTTTTCCTTTATCTTCTCAGTGTCTTGCTTATCAATTCAAAGTTGGCATAGAGCTCATCTACACCTCCTTTACTCCCTCCTCATTTTTAATTTTTCTTAGGAACTCCAGCAGTCCCCCTACCTGACAGAAAGGAGCACACTCTGCCACAATGACATGGAATTTCCTCTTTCGGGCAGCCTCTTTGAGGAAGGCCTCTACTGTTCGAGAGAAGCCAATGGTCATGATCACCTCATTGGAGTGGATGTGCTCCAGAGCCTGGGCTGCAATGTTCTCTGTTGTCCCTTCTGCAAGAACAGTCCATTTTACAAGGAAAATATGAAACTGCCATGCTACGGCATGGACATAACAGAGCATGGAAAGAGACATGGGCCCTATGCCCACCCACTAGACCCTGATAATGGACTTAATGTGAAATGTCACATTTTCTTAAAAGCCCTGCTCTGCTGGGACCTTCTACCTCCCAAGTTCTCAGCCTAACCTCTTTCCCAGCAGTACCCCTACTCATCCCCTTACATGCTACCATGACACTAGCTCCATACTGATTTTGACACAATGAATTCAGGCAAGAAATGGCCCAATTTGGGAAATCCTAAAGTGCTAAGAGTGAAGTAAACAAAGCTTCCCCCAAAAGAACTCCTCTGGAAGATGGCTACAACCCTTCCATCTGAGAGAGGGAGGCCACATAAGAAAAATGGGAGAATTTGGAGGCAGCAGGTCAGGGCACAGACAGGCCCAGCTTCCCCCCTTCCTCCTCTGACTGTAATGAATATCTGTAGGTCCCCTGGGTCACAAAGACAAGGCGGTTGGAGGCTGTGTGTGTGTGTGTGTGTGTGTATAGAAGTTCAAAAGGAAGTTTAATGAAGGAGGCTTTATCAGCTGTGGTTTTAGGGAATTCATCTTCTTTAAAATGAACAGAAAGCTCTTTCCTAATAGTCCCTGTGCACCGCGTGTTCCTTCCATAAAGGGCTGGTCTGCAAGGAAAGGTAGAAAGAGTTAACTACCTTCCTCCTGCCACTTGTTCCAACCCTTCCTAATCAGGAAGTAAGACAAACCTGTGAGAACTACAGGACCGGTTATCCCATCTCTGCTGATGAGCAACTTGCTTGGTCTTCTTTTCCCTCATTTGCCTGCAACCTGTCCTGTCCACTCAAGGACTCTTACCCAATTCCACAAGCAGCTCATTAATTGCCTCAATGATGTTGGACTGGAGTTGGGCATAAGGAAAACTGAAATCCTCGTTCAGGCCTCCGAATGTCAAGAGTTTGTGCAGGGACTCCTGCTGATCGCTCTCGTCGCAGCGTCCATGCAGTCTACGGAGGCAACAAGACCCAGAGGGGAAGGTGGGGAGGAGGTGTGGTCATTTAAGCCACAGGAGCTGCTCAGCTCCAATAAAGGCCCCAAAAAGGGGCAGGGGCCAGTGCAAAAGGCGTCACTGGGTCCAACGCAGGGCCCAGGACGTGGGCCTGACCTGCCATACTCCTCCCGGACGATCCGCAGCACTCTCCGCACCATGTTGCCCACGGTGGTCTCTGAGGGCTGCGCGGCCGTCATCCTCCGGCCCTCTCTGCGAATCAGCTCCATCAGCTCCCCTGCAGTTCAACGAGAGAGGGTGAGCGGAGCAAGCGCGAGGTGAGGCCTGGGCGACTTTCCGCTTGGGTATCAGGAACAGGTAGTGTGGTGGAAGGCGAAGAAGTCAGGCCTGCCCCACCTGCGTTGCTCCAGCGGTGGTCCGTGATGATCCGGCGTAGCAGCCCCAGGGTCTCCCGAGCCATGTCTTCCGAGCTGCGCCGCCCGCCGCCCCGCTTTAGCGCCTCCACGAAACTCTCGATGCTCTCGGCCAACTCCACACCCTCTGCCGCCGCTCCTGGCATCGCTACAGGAACCGCCTGGCCAGCGAAATCCACACCTGCGAGAGCTCGGGGTTTACACTTCCGGGGCGAGCGAGATCGGCTTCCGTTCTGAGAAAAAAAAACTCCCTTTTAGGAGACGGCAGGCCACGCCCCTCGCTGACTCCCCGCCCTACTTCTTCTGCCTGAGCCAATCGGAGACTTGAAGCTCGAGTGGTTCAGTTACAGCCAGGTCTGTGCGCTTTCGGGGTGGGAGAACTGGCAGTGACTTCTGGGCTCCTCGGAAGCTCGGCGGAGGTGACCCGTGAGGCTTGAAAAGGGTGGCTAGTGCCGTTTCTGTGGAAACTCTGTCTCTGAGCCCTTCCCCACGATCCGACCCTACTTTGGATAAGTTGCGGCGCTCCTTCTCGGTCTCCCCTGTTTGGTGACCTCCCAGTCTCCTGACAGAAATGTTCAAGAGAGAACTTCCAGGGCCGCTGCCCCTTGGGCAGATGCCCCATTACAGTGCTGTTACATTGCACGGTACTGGTTCCTTTGCGCCTGCGTGAAATAGATTCAGCTCCCTGACGGTAGAGACGATGGTCTTTTTTGCCTTTGCATTCCCAACGCCTAGCACTTAATATAAAAACAAGAATCAGGGATGAGAGCGAATACTAACCAATTAGGAGATTCATAGTGGGAGCTAATATGAGCAAATATGATGTCCTTACATATGGACACACTACAAAAGCTCGAGAGTATAATGCAATACCAAGAGCTACCATTTACTAAAGCTTACTAGGTATTGGGCACTGTGTGAATCGCCTTATCTAATGCAAGTCTATGAGGTAGGTCCTCTTATCCTTTTTGCGGATTAGGAAACAGCCACAGAATTTAAGCATTTAGTAAGAGGATGCGTTTATATTTCAAAGCCAAGTAGATCTAGACCCAAATTCTGTGTGTAATGAAAATGTCTATTTCCTTAAGATAAATTCTTTAAATTTGGGTACATGCAAACTTTTGTTGCAATACAAATTGTCCTCCAAAAAGGTATACCAATACCAAATCAGATAGATAGCACAAGACAACTACAGACCAATGCCCTCATGAATGCAGATGCAAAAATCTGCAACAAAGTATTAGCAAAAATCTAATCCAGCAATATATAGAAAGATTAATACATAATTACTAAGTAGAATTTAAACCTGAAATGCAAAGCTGTTTAAATGTCTGAAAATCAATTTAATAAACCACATTAACCTAAAAAAATCATGATTATGTCAGTTGATACAAGAAACATTTGACAAAATTCAAAAGCCAATGAGTTTTTAAAACTCTCAGAAAACTGGGAAAGAAAAGGAACTTTTACACAGCCTGATAAAAAGCATCTACAAGATCCTACACCCAACATCACACTTTATGGAGAAAGACTGCATTCTCCCTAAGACCAGGAATAAGGCAAGGATTTCCACTCTCATCCACTCCTGTTTAATATCACACTCAAAGTCCTAGCCAGTACAATAACACAAGAAAAAGAAATTTTAAAAACATACAGACTGGGAGGAAAGAAAATTGTTCTATTCACAGAAGACAACATTGTCTATACAGAAAATCCCAAAGAATCAACAACAATAAAAACCTAGAACTAATATGTGCATTTAGCAAGGATACAGGTCAACAAACAAACATCAATCTATAACTATACACTAGCAGTGAATAATCAGAAACCAAACCTAAAAACACAATAGCTCCCCAAAGCCATAAATATTGTCAATTTTACTGTGTAAGTTTAAAGTGTCTTAAACATTATATTAGTTCACATGTCTACTAGCACTTAGCGCTCTGGCCAATTTTGGATACTGTTGTTCTTTACTTTTCTAGATATCAAGCCATTAAAAAATAAGGTGCATACTATTTTATATATACAGAAGAATATATGTGCATGTGTGTATTTAGCATATATATATATGCACATTATGAAGTATGACAACAAAATGAACACCCATGAAACCATCTCTCAACTTAAAAACTCAAATTTTCAAACTAATAGACACAGAAAGTAGAATGATGAATGTCAGGGTCTGGAGGGAAGGGTAAGTTATTGTTTAATGGGTATAGAGTTTTGGTTTTACAAAATGAGTTCTCATGATGGATGGTGGATGATGGATGTGTGCTTACATTGCACAACATCATAAATGTACTTAATGCCACACTGAGCTGCACACTTTAAAAGGGTCAAAGTGATAAATTTTATGTTATGTGTATATGTAGCTCTAGAAGTAAGGGGTTCCCCTCCTGGAACAACTTCCCCTATGAATCCAGTGAAATTGAAGTAAGGCAAGGGAAAGGGCAGGTTGGGAGAAACCGTTTTTATTGCTCACAGCTTGCTCGAATTCACTAGCCAGGCCCTGCTCTGTCTGTCCACTCTGGCGATGGCACGCACTCCGCCCAAGTCCTTTGTCTCTAGTCCCAATAGCAAAACCTGCTCCGTGCTCCATTCTTCTGCAGCCAGGGTACACTCTCTACTTCCCTGCCCACTCCTTCCAGGAGGAACTCCGTGGGCAGGTCCTTGGTGACTGGCAGACACCAGACTGATAACACACCAGGAATGGAGATGGGTAGAGAATGGCTCTTTTCTCTCCACTCCTCGCCCCGGATCTTCCTGAGGCTCTGAAACATCCATTGGTATGTAAATGGACTAAGGCTGGACCAGAGATTCTGGAAATTCTGCCATTTACCCCACAGTATATTTTACTACAACTTAAAATAATATGTAATATGTACAAAAAAAATCTAAAATACCGCTAGTGCCATCACAGTGATGTGTGTGCTCTTCTTCTACCCCATTTCCCTGCCTTCTCCCCACACCCAAGGACAACTATTCAACTAAATTTTGATTAGTATTTCATTGCTTTATAAAAAAATATTATATATTTACAATTCCTAAACAACGTATTGTTTAGTTTTGCTTATTTCTAAGTTTTTTACAAATGGTATTGTGTTATAATGAGTCATAAGAAATTCATATTTTGTGATTCACATGACCAAATATACATTTCCCAGGTATATTTGGTCTTCATCCACAGTCCTGAAGGCACTGCAGAATCTTAAAGGTGAAATTAGGGTCTTGTCATCTTAATGAGAGACTTTTGGACTCCATGCCAGTGACCACTAATTTATGGGTATGCACTGAAGCCCTCATGAAAACCCCTGCAAAGAGCTTATCACTCTCTTGGATCCCACTTCTGTGTGAGAGAGCTTCCATGCCTGAGGAACCAGAAAGCCTCCACATGTCACCGAGCCAGGCCCCAAGCTCTAGGAGGATAGAAGCTCCTTTATTTGGGACTTGGCCCTCTTCATCTGGCTGTTAACTTGTATTAAACATAAGTGTTTTCCTGAGTTCTGTGAGCCACTCTAACAAATTAATGGAACTTAAGGGGGAGGTTGTGGGAACCTCCAATCTGTAGCTTATAGGTCAGAAGCACAGGTAACTGCCTGCGGAAACGAGCATCTGGAGTAGGGGGTGGAGGGCAGTCTTGTAGGATGGAGCCCTTAACCTGGGGAATCTGGTGATGTCCCCAGACAGATAGTGTCACAATTTAATTCTTGGACACCCTGCTGGTGTTCAAGAATTGCTTGCTGTTATGTGTGGGAAGACTTTCTCCCAGCCTCCTCCCCTCCAGACACATCAGGTTCAAGAACCTGAAAGGAGTTACACTATTACTGCTGTATAACACTTTTCTTGAAGAAGAAAAAAACAACTCAGGTATTATAATGTAATTTTCTACAATTTGTTTATTTTATTCAATATGACATTCCTAAATTCATCCATTCTGTAATTTGCTCATTTGCACTGCTGCATAATATTCTACCATGTGAATAAACTACAATTTATGTATTCCTTTTCCTTCAACAGATATTTGGGTTATTTCCAATCTCTTTTGGGGGTGGGCGAATATAAACTATAAATATTCTTGTATATATTTTGGCATACCTACAAGTGGAACAGCTGGGTCGTAGGTTATGTGAATATTCAACTTGACAAATACTGCTAGTATTGCAAAGTGGTTAAATCAACATGTGCTCCCTCCTGCAGGACTTAAAGAGTTCCAGTTGTTCTACCCCCTTACCAACACTTGGTATTATCAACTGTTTTATTTTGGAGGAGTCAGGTGGATATAAAAGCATATATCATTGTGTTCATTTGTTTTACTGGTTACTAATGAGCTTGTTTATTTTTTCACATGTTCATTGGCTGTGTGTTTTTTCTTCTTTGTGAAATTACTTTCTTTTGGCTTTAAAAAAAATCTTTTTCTAATGATTTGTAGGAGTTCCTTATATATTCTGAATACTAATCTTTTTCAGTTATTTGTTTTATGAATACCTTCTCTTAGTTTATAGATTTTCATTTCACATTGAGATGCCTTTGAACAGAATTCTTGGTTTTAATATGGTCAGATGTGTCAACTTTGTCTTTTATAGTTAATGCTTTTTGTGTTTAATTTTTTAAAGTCTTCCCTAATCTAAAAGCATAAAGATAATCTCCTATAGTCTAAATAATTTTAAATTCTGTTTTCACACATATTTTGAATTAATTTCTGTGTAGAGTGAGAGATGGGAATCCAATTTTATTTTCTTTTTCCATTTCTCTAGTGACTTTCAATGCTACCACTGTAATATGACACATCTCTGTAATGTGTGTTTTGGGGCCTTTTATTTTGTTCTATTGCCAGATTTACCTATCCCTGAAACAACATCACATTGTCTTAGTTACTACTGTTGTATTTTTAATAAAAGTCTTGCTATCTGGTAAAAAAAATTCCTTTGCCATATTCCTTTCTTTAAAAGTGCCTTGACTAGTTTTGAACCTTTGTTCTTTCATATTTATTATAGAGATAACTTGTTTATTCCTTAAAAAAAGAACTATTGAGATTTTGATTGGAATTGCTTTAAATCTCTAGCTCAATTTGAGGAGAATTGACATGTTTAGGATACTGAGTCTTCCTATCTATGAACATGGCATATTTAGGTATTCTTTAATGCCATTCAGTAAAATTTTATAATTTTCAAGATATAAATTATGCACAACTTGTGGGAAATTTATTCCTAGGCATCTTATGTAT